GACAAAAATGTATCAAGATTTGAAGATTTTCAAATTCTATTTATGCATTATAGTTTCGGAGTCTATTATCCTTTTTCTTTTTGGTGGAGGATATCACACTAAACTCGGTCCGTACGTATTGGGTAGTTTGGTCCAATCAACATTATTTTTTGGTCTTAATTTTTAGATGACTTAATTATCAAAAGGTTTGATCTTTTCTTTGTATTTTATTTTTTTTGGAAAAATAACGGAAACAAATATAAGTTTAGTTTTTTTTGAATATTTTTACTTAAGCACTTGATTAAAAAATGATAAAATATAATTAATTTTCAATTAATTTAATAAAATAAAAATTCTAAAATAAATTATATTATGATTTTAATTATGAATCTATTTTAAATTTATTAGTTTGATGTTTAATGATGTTTGATATTATTGTGATAAAAATTGATATTCTTTCATATTTATATATATATTGTTAAATAAGTACTGAACTGATAAGGTAGCTCAGATGGCCGGAGAAGGAGTGTTAAGGTTAGAATAAGTAGAAGGTAAGGGGTTCGAATCTTACCACTGTTAATTATCTGAAAATTAATAATTAATACTTGTAGATTAGAAAAAACAAAGTGAAAATAATATATATTGTATAATTAATAAATCTGGGATAATTTAATTATTTTTTATTTAAAAATTCATAAAAATAAAAAATACGGATTTTGTGACGGATTTTGAATCCCTCACAGTTTGTTACGAATGCGTTCCCTCACAAATTGCGACGACTTCTTAGGCCGTCACAAATTGCGACGGAATTTTACTCAAGTATTAACATTTATTTAAGTAATTTGTGACGGAAAATTTATTAGTTAGTGACGGCATATTTCCGTCACTAATTGTGATGAACTGAATTTTTCCGTCACTAAATATTTTGTGACGCCATTTTTTCTGACGATCCAAAATCCGTCACAAATTCCGTCACTAATAATTTTGTGACGGATTTTCTTTAATTTTATGACGGATTCTTTCCGTCTCTAATTTCCATTTTTCTAGTAGTGTTAGTAGACTGGAACGGCCCGTTCCAATTTGGGAACGGCCCGTTCCAATTTGGAAACGGCCCGTTCTGGGCTACTAAATCACCCCTGAAAATTTATGAAAAATTATTAAATTACCCTTGAAAATTACAACATTACCCCCAACTAAAAGTTTGAAAACTAGGGCGTCACAAATAAAAGGAAGACTAAGGGAACTATTTGAAGCAAGTAAGAACATTAAAAGTTATCAATATCCAAGCTAGATAAAATTGTAATTACTTGTTTCATACTCTAATTCATATCTCTCACCCATACACATTTGTAATCTGATCTATGATAGAAAGAGTAAAAATACTTCCTCAGTGGAAGCTTTTATCCTAGGAGAGTCAAAAACCTTTAAAATTTGTTAAGGTTTCTCAAATCTGTAAACACATTTGATTACCCATTCCCGAATCTAGTGTGTAGAAGGAAAGAAAGGGTAGAAAAGTTGCAACCAATTGGTTGTGGTTTGACTCATGGCCATGGGCTGTGAGGGTGGGCGTTTACTCAACAGGTGTACGGTTACTTAGTAGTTGGCTAATGGTGACTACACGATTAGTAGGTGGTGTAGGGAAAATCCAATAAGTGTTGGTGGTTGTATTTAGAGCATTGATTTTTGATTATAGTAGAGAAATCCCACAATAGATGTGGGGATTAGGTGTAACCCAAGGTTGGGTGAACCAAGATTAGGGATGGCAAGTAAACTTGTATCCGTGGATAATGTCCGAACTCATCCCAACTTTGATGGGTAATACCTGTTTTGATTAGACATAGTGATGGAAATATGCCAAGGCCAAGGAATCCAAGAGGTGATACTTTAAAAGAACCAAGAGGAATGGGATGATTTTGAAGACATTTTCATATGTTGTATATAAACTTGTACATAGTTTCCTTGTATAGGCTTATTTTTGCCTTTGTATAGGCTTATTTTTGCCTTTGTATTTGTGAGACACTTTATTTCATTTTATAGACCATTGTATATTGTTTCTAAGGTAGGTTACTTGGAGACTTTGACTTCATTTAACCTAATTTTAAAGTACACTCTTTTCTATTTTTTTAGTAGTAGAAGTGGGGTGGTAATTAGCAATGCTTGAGGGTGTGACTAGTAATTGGGCCAGAATTGGGCCTAGGCAAAATTTTACATATTGGACTCATTTTGCTCCTAATTTTTCATTTGTTGTATTTATCTATTTCTCATCATTTTTTGATTGACCTAACTAAACCAAACCAAACATTTTTGAAATAATTAAAGTGAGCAAAATGGAACCAAGACCGCCTAGCTTGCCTAGTTCTTCTTCCTTGGCCGAATTGCTTCTCATTCTTTGAAGCCTTGAGAAGCTTGTGCTACAAGCTTCTCCTTAGCTTTCTTGGGAAGCAAGCTAAGTGAGAAGCTTGCTCTACAAGCCTCTTAACTAGCTTGGACGGTCAAGCAACTCAACCATGGTTCACTTGAACCATGGTTAAAGTTAGCTTGCTCCCTAAGCTACCTCTTTCTATATATTTGTAAATCTAACCTTTTCCCTCACTTTGGATGAATAATAATCAGAATTTCTCTCAAAATTCTCTCTTCCAAAGCCTTAGAATTTCGTGGAGAACTTTCTCCCCTAGGTTCCTTCACAAAGGTTTCCAACCTTTGTGCCTTGGTGCCTCAATCTTCTAGCTTCTTGAAGAAGCTACCGAACCTCCTTGTTACTTCTCCACCATTGAAGCTTCTTCAAGGTGTTTCTCTCTTGGCATGTCAACCTCAAGAAAAGAAAGGGATTGAAGGTGGAGAGTGAAGAAGAACATCAACCACTTTTACTCTCTTCCATCACATAGGTACAGGTAATACCCAATTCATTAAATCGAGTATGAGGACGAGATGAGTATATACGTACTCATCCCGTACCCATACTTGTATCTATACCATTTAAAATTTATATATATTTAATTTATTTTTTAAAATTTACTTAAAATTTATGTAATTTCTTTATTTTTAATTTATGTCAAATAAAGTTTAATTAATATAATTTTATAATTACTATTTTATTTTGAAATCTTTTTTTAATATTTTTTGCAATAAAATAATGTTTAATGAATTTTTTGACAATATAAGGCGGATATAGATATACCCAATACCTAACAGGTATAGAAATGAGGACATAAATTTCATACTTGTCATATATAGGGACAGACATGAGTATAAGGTATGGAAACATGGACGGGGACGATATAGAGAAACCTATACCCACCTTGTCCCGTTATCATCCCTAACTAGGATAAATTACAGGGTGAAATATCTCTTACTCTTACTCTCGTATTTATTTAAATTACTTTAAACTACTCATATTTATCATACTAAATTTTTAAACAAGGTAAAAAGTATTTTCAAATATCTTAGAGGCACAAACTTCTAAGTTGTTTTATAAAGAAACTATCAAAAGTAGAATAAATTTTTTAAACCTTTAGAAGCATTAGCTTCTAAATATTAGTTTGATAAAAACAATTCAAATTTTAAGATAACCATAATTCCACCTCCCTTCTTATATTAATATTGAATAATATTTACTTTAATTTTTGTGAAAAAGTAGGATAAAAATATTCCTGGGAAATAATATTTTCTAAAAATACTTATTTTTTAAAATAGATACTTAGACATGAGAAATTAATATTTCCTTAATGTCAACAAATTCAAACTATATATATTTATATTATAAATAATTAAAGGGAGCACAAATGAAACTTTCTGTCAGATGTGAATCTTTCGGTCACTCTCACTAAAAGAAACACTGCAAAATTTATCTAATTTAGGAAGAATTAAATAAAATAATATCATTTCTGCTTTTTTTTTTTTTTTTTTTTTTTTTTTTTTTTTTAAATACCAGTATGCTAACTTTTTTGAATTACTACCAATGAATAGAAGAAAAAAAAAGGTATAAACACGGTCTATGCCTACTAAGATTGGACCTATATTAAAATGAATAAAAATAAATGATCCATAGGGCTAATAAAACAAACTAAATTTATGAGATTGAACAATGATGTATAAGACTTGACAGATGATTCATCAAATCGAATTCAAATTTTTAACCACTACGAACCATATTTAAGAGTGAACAATTATAGACTATTCACAAGATTAATTGGAAAAAAAATGTTTCAAAATAATAAATTAACCGAACAGACAGAATCCATGTTTGAATAATATACAAAACTATTAGATGAAACCCAGTATACTAATAAGACATTATCAACAAGATTATCACACAAAGAATTTGTGATAGCGACACTTTATTTTACTCCAGCGAGTTGGTTGTGCAGTACTAACCATGGTTTTAAATTGCGGTGTTGCGGTCGCAATATTGCTGTTGCGGCCTTGTCCGCAACGGTATTTGACCGCAATTGCGATGATACTGGAAATCACACATTTTTCCGCAACGTAACGGTGTTGTGTCCGACACATCTGCAATGTACCGCAATACATCCGCAATACGATAATTGATACTATAATTTTAAAATAAATTAAATTATTCATTAAAATAATAGAATATTTAAAAAAAAAAGGAATTAAAATGTATAAATCCTTAAAAATAAAATATATATTGATAATTATAAATTTTTTATATTTAGTGAAAATAATTAATAATCTCACACCGCAACAGCCGCAATCCGCATTGCAATACCCGCAATACCCGCAACTGCAGTAACTACAACGGCGACCGCAACCGCAATTTAAAACCACGGTACTAACTAAAGAATGCTTTGAACTCACACCGAACTGGTCAGAAAAGAAAATCACCCCGCCACGTTTTCGGCTTCAGAATTCTGACATCACTATTATAGGCACCAAAGCAAATAAGATTTTCAAACATGTTGCCCACAACTCTTCCCTCCCTTTACGTTACGCCACTTCCTCCCAAAGCGTTGAGGGCGAGACAATCCATCACATCGCATCATATATATGCATTGCAAGCATTCCATTTCAAAGACAAAAGATAACCAAATCAAAATGGGTGTGTCCCAAAAATGGTTCAGAATTGTTCGAGGCAGATTCCTCCGATCATCCAACAAAAACATCATCATTCTCCCTCGCAGCAATGAAAGCGAAGAAGCCATACTTAGCAACGAAGACTTCACTTTTCCAACACCAATTTCTTTGGTCACTGAAGAAGATGTTGCGGCAATTAAGATCCAAGCTTATTTCAGGGGACATCTAGTATGACACCTTATTTCTTCTAAAGATTATATAATCTTCATATATTATATGATAATATTATACAATCAATTATTTATTTGACAGGCGAGACGAGCTTATAGGGCTTTAAAAAGCCTAGTGAAGCTTCAAGCATTGGTTCGTGGGGTGTGGGTGAGGAAACAATCACGTATAGCAATGCAATGTATGCACGCACTTGTAAGATTGCAAGTAAGGGTTCGTGCAAGGCAGCTACTAGGTAGCTTTGATAAGGAACATGTATAATCTTCTCCATTGGCCATATATAAGAGTTTTAATAAATCCATGTCCAAATTATTCATTACTTTTTTGTCCAAAATTATTTTTACTATATGTAAACATTTACAAGAATGAACGATTTCATTGAGGTTTGTTTTGTTGTGTTGATGAGCCCTTAATATTATACTTATAGTAGGATCTAAACAAAAGAAAAAAGAAAAAGAAAAATCACAGTAACTAGCTTGGTGTTATTTCTTCCAAGAAAAAATAAGTAAAGGTGGTTGATATTCACACCTCTTTATTATTGTTATTCTTTCAAAAATTTTAAAACTATGTTTTGAATTAATTTTCTCTGTAAATAAACTTTATTTTTAAAATTATGTTTTTCATCCACCCCTTTGGTCGTCTTCTTCTTCTTCTATTACATTCTTCACTACTAAACACTCTTGATTTTTTTATTTCTTACTTTTAATGTTGTATTTTTACTCTCAATTTTACCATTCTTTCACTCCATAACTTTTCATTTCATTACTTCTTACATTGAATATAAGGCATGACTTATACATAATAGGTAATTACGCATGTAAACAACGAGATTTGGTGAATATTTTTGAAGATTTCTATTCATAATATGATTATGTTGATTCTAAAATGAATTTTTATTTTCTCAAATTTTTGGAAAGTATTTTTCAAAAAGATGTTTTAATACTTTTACAAATTACTTTTCAAAATAATAAATTTGATGTTTCAAAAGGATTTTTTTCATACTTTCAAGAGTTTTTGAACTCCAAAAGTTAAAGAATAAAAGTAAAATTAGAGGATATTTTGGTAGAAGAAAAAAAGAGTAATAGAAATGTATTATAAATTAAGGGATATATATTAGTCCGGTCGGATACAAACTTAAAAATACTTTTAAGAATTTCTCTCAATGTTAAAAATCAAGGATGTATTTATGAACCAGTTAAGTTTAATTCAGTTGAAATTAAAAAAATTTATACTCAGAAACTTACTTTTTTTATTAGAACATACATTTTTTTCGTTAAACATGAGTTTAAACCGATATTTAAATATACACTAACACGTTCCATATCGGATTTTTGAGCTTCACCCATCTAGTCTTGCCTTTATTCACAAGGGGAATCAGAATAATTGAGTGGATGCAAAGCCATGGGTTGGTACAAGTGGATAAAATATATTAACTATAATTTTCGTAGATGATGGTTTCATTTTACCAAGTCACCAAAATGTGTTTGGTAGACAATCCTTTTGGATTAAAAAAAATCCTTATGGAGAAGGTCTTTGAGACTTCACGACTAATTAAGTAATTGTCAACAAAGGGTAGTATAGGAATATTCACTTGTTATTCATCGACTATGCCTTTCGGCCTGATCTTAGGTCCTGACTCACCTTTCGTGGATGAACCTTGCGAAGGAACTCTTGAGTTTTCGAGGCATTATTGGATTCTCACTAACGTTTGCTTTACTTAAGTCGACATTCTCACTGGTTTTATTTGAAGATAATCTTTTCTATGATCAAACTCGATTTTATTTTGGATGAGCAAGCTCCGTAAGATCCAGTAAAATAAGTGATATGGTATAATCTGAATTATATCTTATGTTCCATTTTTTCAAATGAAAGATTTGAAGACCTATTGATTCTAATAACTGATTATAGAGTGGATCATTCGGACCTTTCAATTCATAGATGTGGTGGATCTCGGACCTATGAATGGGGATACCTCCAAAACTCACAAAGAAAAAAGGAAGTGCAAAGACAAAAAGAGAAGAAACTTGGACAAAAAAAGAAGAAACATGGACAAAAGGACAGAGTAATTTTATTTTATTTTTTTTTGCAGTTTAAATTTGTGCAATAATTATTTGGGTGAGCTTTTATTATCGATGGCCTCAAGATACTGTTAGGGATCGCTTAATATTAAGAGAATGTTTAGATAAGCTTTTTAAATGTTTTAAAAGAAAAAATAAGTAAGAAAAAATAAAATCACTTTAGATAATTATAAATTAGTTTTTATAAAACTTTTAAGGTCAACTTAGTTGTTTGGGCTGGTAATATGTTTGAGATCTTATGTTTAAGCTTTAATGAGATTATTGTAAATTTAATATATATATATATATATATATATATAATAAATTAATTTATAAAAGTTTTCTTATTTTAAGTTCTTAAACGACTTTTTCTTGCCAGCAACTTATTTTTAATTATATAAAAATAAATTAGTTTTAACTTACAAGGATATTTATACAAATAAATCCTAAAAAATTACATTCAATAATCTATATTATATTAAAAATAATAAATATGATATATTTTTTTGGTGTATACATTTTATATTTAATTTTACTTTTATAATTGCTTTTTATAAATTATTATTTATTATTTATATTTTTTAATTTTACACTAAAAACTACCGACACTTATCATTTAACCATCGGATTTTTAAAATAAAAAAAATTGAATGGGAGAAGCAACGAGTATAATAATTTATTTATACTTATCATAAAGGGGATATTAATTAATAAATATTTTCTTGGTTTCCATTTTTTGAATTAGACATTTTTACCCTTAAATATTATTAACGCTCCAAAATAAAAATAAAATTAATACCCAATACAATTACCAAATTTAAAATCTTAATATTGTTTTAGTAATTATCTTATATTAAAATTCCTTAAGAATAAATATATAAAGACACACAATATCTCTTTCTCTTACAAGTATTATATGCAAAAGGAATATTGTCCTTTGGTTTTCACATATATTTTACACATTTATATCTTTTAGTATATATTAATCTTTTCCCTATCTTATCTTAAAATTTCTCAAGAATAAATATATAAAGGCACACAATGTTTTTTTTCTCTTATTAGTACTATATACAAAAGGGATATTGTCCTTTAATTTTCACATTTATTTTAAACATTTATATCACTTTATTATATATTAATCTTTTTCCTACCATCACATCTCTTGAGGATAAAATAGAAAGAAAAAAAACTTACACACACAAAAAAAATAATTTTCACTCATCAATAATGACTACCAACTTACTTTGTAACCACTTTGGTCTCTATTTTTTGTGTAAGATTATTTAACCCATTTTTTAATTGTACATAAAGTCATAATGTACCAAATTTACCCTTCTTACTTATCATTAATTTTTATGAGAGAAATGAAGATATTACTTCATATCAATGTTTATGTATTATAAGAACTAATACCAATTAAATTGACAAAATGACAAATAATTGTAGACTTTAAGAAGTGAGAGAAAACTTTTATTTTCAAATTCTCTTCTCATTAATCAACGATAATCTTTAATAGGGATAAAAGATGAAAAATAAAAATGGTTTAAATTAATTTTCATCTATTTAATTCATTAGTTTTTCACTTGTAGTTCCTACAAATTTTTGTTGTTATTTCATCCTTAATCTTTTATAATATTTTAAAAATAGTCTTTGTCATCAATTCCTATTAAAAAAATCTTATATGAGAAGCAAAAAACATATTATATTTATTATATTTCATTTCACATTGTCACCTATAGGTAAATTTATTTTAATTTTTTATGACAAAACTTTAAAATGCATTTAACTATGATCACTTCTTTATACTCTTCACGTGCACCCTCTTAAGGTTGTGGAATGTCGCATCCTAGTTGTCGTCGATGGCTGAGCTAAACCACCGACCTCCCTTCTCTAATGAGGTGTCTTGCTCATTATTGTTGAGACCATCACAATAAGTAGAAATAATCTTGATAGTCCTAAGCCAACCAATGTAGTTCTTCTTGCCCTTGAACGAGGTGTCATTGCCAGTAGCGTCAACAAATGGGTAATTGCTTTTGTGACGCATGACCTTTTGTATGACGCATGACCTTTTGTCATGCATATATATGAAGAAAAATTTCCGTTTGATTTCCTTTATTATTGCTTGGATGTTAAAACCCCGTTTACACAATCATGCTCAAATGTCAAGGGATGACATTTTATTGATGCATGTGATTAAAAAGAAAATTAAGATCGATTGGGTATTGGTTGTCAATGATTGTATGTGGAAGGCAAGACGGAAAGAGGATGGACCAATTCCGTATGCTTTGTTGCTGTCAAATTTTTTTGAGAATGTAGGGGTAGACCTAACAAGGGAGAAGAAAATAATTCTCCATGCTTCTAATAAGATTGAACAATCTTAATTGAATAAAACGGGGATGATAAACCAGGAAGACAACTGGCTATTCAAGGGAGATGTACCTCCAACTCCTGAATCGGCGACAAATGAAGATGGCGTTCCATCTCACGATGAGAATCAGCCACCACAGGTGGAAGCTGAACCTGACCGGGAGCCAGAAGCGGAGCCTAAGCCATTTTCTCAATTTGAGCAAATCATGATAAATAATCCTGATGCGGTGATGGAGATGTCTAGGAGGCATGAGTCCTTGTTTTCTGGTATTCTTGACAGGTTTGATGATCTTGATCGCGAGGTGAACCGACTCAAGACTCACCTAGGCATACTTGAAGACTCGGAGTGATTGTTGTTCTGTTTTGCTGATTAGTTTTAATTAGGACTTTTCAATTCTGTTTTTGGATGTTAATTACAATTTGGCTGTAATAGTTTAATTCTGGAACAATTTATTTGCTTTAATCTGTTGAACAATTAAATTTCTGATGAAATTTGAAGTTTATTTTGCTGATATGTTGGTTTGAATGATGTTCCAAATTCTGATTTGATTGGCTGATGCATTGATGCTTTGGTTTTGAGCATATTGATTGATGTTCTATTTTTTTGGACATTGATATGTGGTTTTTGATATTTGATTGGCATAATTGATAATGATTATGGACTTTGAATTGTAATATTGTACTATACATTGTGATTTTGGTTGACAAATGAATTTTTTTGTTGCTGATCATATGATTTTTATGGTAATGAATTAGATAATGTGATTGAAAGTAACTTGATAAATTTGAAAATTTTCTATTCATAAAGATTGGATGTTGATCAATACCTATGATATGTTGAATGTGTTTTGGTATTGTTTTGAGCACTTAAGGAGTATGCATATGACTTATATTGTATGTTAAGAACAAACTTAGCTTGATTTGTTTTTGATAATGCCAAAGGGGGAGAAAGGT